TTATTTATTTATTACTGTTTCATTTCATTACTGCTGTGTATGTGCTCCATGTGAGTGACGTAGGTGCTTATGTAGGTGGGTTCCAACTTACAGCGAAAATCGCGTTACCTCGCGCTGTAGGAACAGATCTCTGACGTAACCTGAGTACATACTGTAACTTAGTTCAGGAACATTGTCTCTCAGAAGCTGAATTTTTCTCAACTTTAAAATGGGGATCCTAATACCTTGAGAATTTCTGTGAAGATCCAATGACACCATGATGCAATGTATCTGGAACTATGCCTGGCACAGAGTGGGGTCATAGGCTTACTTGTGTCTCACTGAATATGAGCTCTGATGGAGCTAATTTACATTTTGCATGGGGTGGTGCTCAATGGGCTATTCTGACTGCAACATTACAACAAACAGAAAGTGCAAGATGCAGTTTTATTTTTACCTCACCTCAGAACCCTGCCATAGTACATGGGCCCTGAAAGATACTTTATTTCCATTATGTTGTGGGCTAAAGATGTTTAATTCTCTAAACCTCTCTCCTGCAAGCTGCCTTTCCCCTAAGTTCTCTGGCCTTATTAAAGTCACAATCCCCAGTGTTAATCCAGCTTCAGAAAGAGCTGAAGAGGAGGGCATCAAGATCATGGGGTAGGAAAATCTTGAGCTCATCTATACCCATGGGCACATCTTTGAGAATGACTAAAGACTAGCAGAATAGATTTTCTACAACTAAGGATTTAGAGAAAAAAAAAAGTCACACTAGACTAGGAGGGTGTAGTCATGACCCACATCCCCAGTGTGGTGTCCCACAAGTTGCAGGGATTTCACCAACAGGGAGGTCCCCCCTGAGTGATGGCTCTAAGCCTTACATTGAGCTCCCCAGCCTGGGGGAACCTAAGCCAGGAAGAGAAGTCCTCATAACATCTGGCTATTAAAAACAGTGGGGTTACGTCCAGGAGAGCTGAAGGGCTTTAGGAAACCAAGATTCTGCTTTTAAAGGGCTTGTGCACAAACTCACTCACTTGGAGTTCCAGCACTGAGGCAGCAGTTTGAAAAACTCCTGGGTCATACATGAAGGAGGTGTGTTGACTAATTTTAGGGCAAGTGATGGAGGGGCTGGAATCTGTTCAAGTTTTCTCTGGGGACAAAAGCACTGACAAACACCATTTATTTTTTTACACTCCTAGCTGGCCTAGAGCTGGCAGGCACCATTTCTAACACTCTCCATTAACTTTTCTAATGTTACTCACTCTGCTCTGGTGTTCCCCTGAGATTCCATCCCACCCGATGTTCCCAAGCCACCTAGAATCACTCCAGAGCAGCTACCATCCCATCCACACCTTGTGGGCAGCTTTGTCTAGGACTAGTGTCCCTACAAAGTGACTCTCACTCCACATGATTAGCCCCCACACATCAGCATGTCCACAACAGTTGAGGCTGACATTGTGGCTAGCCATGTAGGGGGTCTACCTGTACACTAATGCCCCATGGAAATTGCAGCCTGGCCTCACAACCAGTCAGGCCAGGGAGCAGCCCTGCCCTTCAGGGCAACCGTAATAGTCATGCCCAGGCTTCACTGACACCTGGGCCTAGAACCAACCCTGTCCACAGTGTATCTGAAACAATTGTGACAGGGTTTCACAGTATTTGGCTTGGGGGCCATACCTGCCTACCAACATGCCTTCAGCATCTTCGGCCCAATCAAAACTGATCTATGCAACTGACACAAGGAATGGCCTTGGAGCACCTGGCTCTGGTGAATAGGAAGGATTGCACAACTGGGCCCATAGGACACCTTTTAAATAAGCCCACTATTTCAATATCAAGAAACATAACTGATCTTTCAAATACATAGAAACAACACAGATAGTTAGGCAAAATGAGGAGACAGAGGAATATGTTCCAAAAGAACAAGCACATGACAAAATCCCAGAAAAAAAGAACTAAATGATGATGGAGATAAGCAGTATATCAGATAAAGAGTTCAAAATAATAATCATAAGAATACTCACCAAATTCATAAGAAGAATGAATTAACACAGTGAGAACTCCAATAAAGAGATAGAAAATTTAATTAGAACTGAGGAATACAATAACTGAAAAAAAATACTTTATAGGGAATCAACAGCAATTAGATGATGTAAGAGAACAATTCAGCAATCTGGAAGACAAGGTAGTGGTAATCACCCAATCTGAACAGCAAAAAAATAAAAAAATGAGACTAGTTTAAGGGCCCTCTGGGACAACATCAAGCATACTAACATTCACATAATAGGAATCCCAGAGGAGAAGAGAGAGTGAAAGGGAAAGAAAACCTATTTGAAGAAATAATGGCTGGAAACTTCCCCAACTTGGTGAAGGAAACAGACATCCAAATTCAGGAATCACAGAGTCTTAAACAAGATAATCCAAAGAGACCCACACCAAACACATAATAATTAACATGTCAGAAGTTAAAGAAAAAGAGAGAATCTTAAAAGTAGCAAGAATAAAACAACTAGTTAGGTACAAGGGCACACCCATGAAACTATTAGCTGATATTTCAGCTGAAAATTTGCAGGCCACAAGAAAGTGGCATTATATTCAAAGTGGCATTATATCACTTTGAATGATTAAAGGGAGAAAACCTACAAACAAGAATACTCTATTCAGCAAAGTTATTATTCAGAATTGAAGGAGAGTTTCCCAGACAAGCAAAAACTAAGGGAGTTCATCACCACTAAACTGGCATTACAAGAAATGTTAAAATGACTTTTCTAATTGGAAAAGAAAGGCCAAAACTAAAAGAAAATATATGGAAGAAAAAAAATCTCACTAGTAAAGGAAAACATAAAGTATAAAGGTAGTGCAACAATCACTTATAAAGCTAGTATAATGGTTACAACAAAAATCATTTATGTCTATAATAGTTAAGAAATACATACATATACATAAAGATGCAAACTATGATATCAAAAAAAATAAAATGGAGGGAAAGAGCAACCAAAGGACTTGTATGCATGCACATAAGCCTAACCAATGGACACAGATACCAGGTGTTGAGAGCATGATTAGGCGTGGGGGGGGGGAGAGCAATGGGGGGATAAAGGCACATATGTAATACCTTAATCAATAAAGAAAAAATAAAATATCAGGTTGTGGGGGGTGGAAGGGAGAGAAAGGTAGTGCTTTTAGAATGCATTTAAACATAAGCAACCATCAACTTAATATAGACAGCTATATATATACATATTTATACATATCTTGTTATGTATAAATCTCATGGTAAACACAAACAAAAAACCTATAAAAGACACACAAAAATAGAAAAATGGAATAAAAACATAACACTAAAAAATATAATCAAATCACAAGAGAAGAGAGCAAGAAGGAATGGAG